CAACCATCCTGATATGGAATTTGCCATGGTATACTCATTGATGATGCCAATCGCCGTAATATAGTATTCCCTAAAATTTTAGCCGTGTCCTCATAATATTTTGTTGAAGTTTTGACAAATGAGAACCCATTAACATCACAGACGAAAGATTTGCCATTTGCACGCAGCAAATCAAAGCCACAAACAGTTTGCTGCAAGAAGAAAGCATTTTATTGGTTGAAAAACTAGCTATCGTTGTTTAAATAATTGAAATCATCATTACGCAAATCAACGCTTTCGCGCTTTTTACAAACTTACCCCAAACGTCATAACCACTTTTCTTGCGATTAACTTCTCCTTGCTGCTCAAAATAACTGGATAACGAACTTCTTTTCCATGTGAATCACGTTCAACTTTCCCATCCAAACCAGGTGCTTTTCTAGCTTCTGCATGAGCATAATAAGGACCCACGGCATAAACCTGAATCGAAATACTTGAATAAACAATTACCATAGGTCTTCGAAATATAAATTCGCCTTATTTAAACCAACTATCATTTTTCATTAAAAGTTTGAAACAACACCTTAACATCAATGCCATCCGCCGGTATGAAATCTTCGTAAATGTAAGAACCTTCCCGACGAACTGTGCTTACCGGAGAGTACCAACTGCTGCGATTATTTATCTATAAAATACAAAACAACTTCTTGGAAACAATTCTTGAACAGAAGGATCAAATGATTCGTATATAAAATCACTCATTTTAAACTTCCTTTTCAATTTTTCAAAAACTATATAAATCGTTCATAACATTAAGCCACCGATTCAGAACAAATTACTTCTTATGATCCTATGCAGATATTCAATACACATAAAGTTCCATTGACTATTTTGAACAAAGATAATGGCACGCAAAACATATTATGAAAGTGATAAAATAGATTTATGAATCAGACCAAAATACACTGTAAAGAACATTGACTAAGTGGCTTTTAATTTCAGTACGATATTTCGAATATAAAAATATACTGTCTTAACAAAATTAAAGCAGTGTCAATTTTTTTAACCATAAATTTCAAGTATGTTTGATAACTGAAAGCATTCATCCATGTGAAATCCAGAATCATATGTGTGCACAAAAATTATTGTACTTACATGATGAAAGAAGCACTTTTTCCTATTTCGTACATATCAATATATGTTATCACTATTACAAACAGCAGTTGAAAATTTCCCAATCTGAAATTTATATATCTAATGTAGTTCAGATAATGTTTGTAACCTTTCTAAACAAACGTTGTGAGCCACCACCAACAGAACTTGGATAATAGATGTATACATTATGATCCTCAGCAGATAATGGTTTTTCCACAAACGGCTTGTTGAACACCATTCCATTGACTTCGATATGATCACTAAATTCCTTCAACGTGCCTTCTCAACAAAAAATTTTTTTAGAAAACATCGAAAGGACAGATACAACAGTGGAAGAAAATGAGCTTGACATTAAAGTAGCAGTGTAACAAAGATGAGATGAAATTTTGAAATGAACTTGCCAACTTTTCCTTCCTCATCACGTAGGAGAACACCATGACGAGGATGCTTAATACCTGCGCGGGCCAAAGCTCTAAAAACTTTGCGTCGATCTAACTGAAAGAATATTTAAATTTAATGATTACAAAATGTTATAGCTAGAAGAATAAAAGAGTGTGAAAGATTAGGAAGTAATATCACTATGCAAGTTGACAGATATTGTAGCATACTCGTGTCGCATCACTTATCGAGTAAGGGTAATTTTTGGAAAATAAACACTAACTGCATTAAGGAATTAAACTAAAATTATTTTAAATATCTGAAGTAAAACCTACCAAATCATACTGCCTATGTAAATCATTGATAACATATGGGTGCCTTAAACGTTCATATTCGATAGCTTTATGCAAAGGAAAATCAGTTGCATGAAAACTGATCAAACAATCACATAGCGGCCATCGTTCAACTGGTTCATTCAATATTACCTCTTCAGGGAATACTACAAATTCAAGCCAATCCTGAAATGTCAGGTTTTCATTTCCACTGCAGTGATGAAGAATAATATCGCCGCATAATGATCAAAAAATGCGAAATCCGAACTACTGCATCTATTTGTTTGAAAAAAGTAATCATGAAAGTTCCAGAAACTTCAAAAGTTATTACACTACTGGAAGCATACCGCGTAGAATTCAACTACTTTTGCCATAATTTCTTGCATCGGTTTGCTTGTTGCTTTTCTTTTCATTGTACAGACTCCAATTATTATCTTCAATAAATACAAAAATGATAATAAAACAATCATGTTAAATTTCTTCAAAATCTGATCCATTTCTCTACGAACATTACTCAGAAATTTAAACTGCATCTATCTGCTTGAAAGAAGTAATTAATTATTTTTTTATGAGATCAGCACAACCGGAAAAGTACAAAATAAGTTATTCAAAAAAATAGAAAAAAATTAAAACAATCTGTCTGGCGGCCTCGATAGATCTCAAAGCATTTAAGCTTTATGTTTTTGCTTAGTACTTACAATTCATTGGTTTAATTCTAATTCACTCTAGTTCTACGCTTTATCGACATAACGATAATTGTCTAATTAGAAATAGTAAAATGAATGAATGAATGTAGGGTGCAGTATAAAAAGCCATATGAAAGCAGTTCATATACTTAATGTCAATACACTTGTTTATTTTATTGATAATTTTGCAAACTCAAAATAATTCCACAGTTTTCGATGAGTTTTTTCCAAATCATCGAAATTTCTATTTGGATAATCGACTCGATAATATTGCTGACATGACCTAATGAAATTTTCATGTTGCATTAAAATGGAAACTAATGATCGCTAAGAATAAACTAATATATGATTATATTAATATTCGCAAATGAAGAAGTTAACCTTCTTTGATGATTCACGACTCGATAATATTGCTGGCATGACGTAATGAGATTTTTGTGCTGCATTAAAATGAAAACTGACGATCGCTAGGAATAAATTAATATGTAATTATATTAATTTATTAATAAGCGGTTGCAAATGACACGAATCAATTGTGCTTCCAGACACTCTTACATTAAAATCCAAATTCAAACAAACACGCTCTTGGCATCGAAATTAAAATATTTCGATGCCAAGAGCGTGTTTGGACCTAAAAGATCTCATTCAAATAGCTCATAATCAATGGTAAGTGGAAAAAACATTTAGAGTAACGTATTATTGACATGACTCATTTTTTTCTTTTTTTAAAAAATTTCCTATTTTGGAGTGTTAGTAATTCCTTGTGTCCTTAACCTTCTTGATTTATCTATAACATTTATTTTCTTACGATGAATATAAAACTTCAATTATATTAATTTCGTTCCCATTCTTCCCGTCCGCTCATATAAAGCAAATTGAACAGTAGCTGTACAGTAACAAAGATTTCAAAATTAAACGAAGAGGAGAGCATGAAGCCATCGAAATAACGAAATATTGGTGAAAATAAATTCACAGTCATTCATCAGCATAGCTGAAGTTAGTTCCCATCGATGAATTCCGAAAATGGAATATTTTACTTTGGATGTACTGTTAGTTTACATCTCAATATTAATAAAGACAGCCTAAATTCTGTGCAGTGCCTCGCACTTCATTTTATAAGTTTCAAGTTTTTTCTCAACACTAATGCAGAAAAATATGAAGTTTTTAAGGTGTATATTCAATTCCTCTCAGCATTAATGTGGAGAAATGTGAACTCAAGGAGCAAATTCTTCCAAATTTTTGGTGACGAGTATATAACCACGAAAAAGGCTTGGATGTAACAGTCCTAAATTGCAGAAGTTGACTGTTACATCCAAGCCACTTGATGGGCTAGGGTAATCGATAACAAACCATCTGATACATCTAATGGATACACGGACATACTCCACCAGTCTTTCATGATATTCCTATTGTTTTCAATCCATAGTATAAAGCTGACCTATCAGTCTGTATTTATGTATAAAAATCTGGCAATCCCCATCAAACCTAATAAACTTATAGCCTTCGATTATTTTGTAAGGCATTGAAAACTGGCATAAATTAAGTGATTAACAATAAATATCAGCAATTAATGAGAAAAGTAACTCCATGTGTTACGCAAAACTTAATTCTGGAAAAAAAATTACAATCAGTCAAATCATCAAACCCACTTTTCGAACTTCGAAAATATGTTTATCGATTGCCAAAACTAAAGTAAAATCCACGAAACAAAGACTCCTGCAACACTAACATAACCATATTAAAATGACAGTTTCGAACATTCAGATTACATCTTTCTCGCCCCTCACATTTTTTTAGCCCACAGTTTCCTACATATAGTATCAACATATTAAATGTCCGATATAAATTATGCATGACAAACAAATAAGTTCTCGACTTATGCTTCGCCAGACCACAAAAAATACACATTAATGGATTCAATAAATTTTATTCAACAACTTAAAGTGATAAGTTAACAACGGCAATTGAGTTCCAACTATAAATCAAACGGATTGAACATGTAATTCAGAAATTTTCGAAGACGGTCATCTTATAGAACTAATTACCACAATATATAGGGTAAAAAGCGAGTTAGGAATAATCATTTAATTACTTTATTGTCTATTGTTCCACCTCCGTCGTACTACTCTGGCGTATTTGTGTAGCAATTCGATCCAAATCTTTTCGTCCCTGAATATAATCATTAGTTGAAAATTGACAAATTAATAAACTTGATAAAAATACTTGTTTCCATTGAAGAGATGCCATTATTCCACAACTAGTTTTTTATTTAAAGAAACGTCCTTCGAAAACCAGTACTATGCAGCACACAAATTCTTCATGGTAATGACGAAAACTTTCTACTATAACGTAATTATATTCACATATATTCCCTTGGTTTCAAATACGAAGATCATACCTGACGGGAAAGTACACGGCCGTTACCTTCCGGATGTTTCTCAACCCATTTTATGGCCTCCAGTGTTTGAAGCGCCTTTCGAATAACAGAACCAGAAGCTTTGCAAAAATGATTAGGTGTTACTCCTTTTCGTTTACTTCCGCCATAAACGCGTCGTAATGCACCAACTCCTGTAAATATATTTGAGAAGAAATAACCCACAATGTCTTGAAATATAATGCTTTTAGAGACATGCGCTCCCTGAAATCGTTTCACACCAGTTTTAAGCAAAACTTGCATCAGCATAGAGGCACATATCACATAAGATCAGTAAATTAATCAGTAAACTTATGTAAAATTTTTTGCACGTATTGACTGTTACTATTTCGTATTCTGACTAAACATGTAAAGAAAAACACACGATGAAGGGTAAGAGAGTAACCTGTTGGCGAACGAATATAAAGACGGCGTGCAATGCTAGCAGTTCTGATGTAGTACCAGTCGACATCAATAGGTGCAAGTTCTTTGTAACTTCCCATTTTCACCAGATCTGACCAGTCAGGTACTTTTACTTTCCCACTTTTTTTTAAAAAATGCGCAACATGTTTAACCATTTCATGCTGATCAACATCCTTAACACTGGTAGGTTTAACCATCGTCGCTTATTACTTGCACCTCCCAATATCTGAAAATACGTTTGTTAACAACGATGACACAAAAACTGCTTGATGTCTTAACTGAAAGAAGAAATATATTCCACAAGCAAAACAAAAAATTTCTTAACAATTGGTAAATATATGCCGTAAATACGATAAAAATTTCTTAACAGTTGGTAATCACATAAATACGCAATGTTACTGGACTGAATGCATTATTCATATTTCTAAACAAGACCTTCTAAGTTATGCAATATATGGAAAGAGTATCACAGGGAAAGTAATAACTAATATCACGTCAAAACTAATATCACGTCAAAGCAAAAATTAGTAATGTCACAAGAAAAATTAATATATCTATAAAGATAAAACAAGAATTGAATCTAATGCATTCATACAAAAATAGACAAAACATAAATATTCCAACTAAAAGGAAGAAGACAATCATATATACATAAATGGGAAGGTAATGCAAAAAAATGAGAAAAATCTGAGAGGTTCGGCAGCGAATGAGCCAATATACGAAAGAGATAATCGACGTGTACCCACTTTCTACACAGCAGTATTTTGGATAAAATCTAGCGGAAGTATATGTAATATTTCGAATGTTAAGGTCGTGAAAAAATCGTGAAAAATTATAAATCGTGAAAAAATCTCCCGCATACACGGAAGGCGCATTGCATTGCCATCCCACGACCAATTACAACCGAGCCCATTCTTCATGCCATACGGCCCGTTAAGTTACTCACAATGAAAACAGGAATTTCCACCTTATGGATTTTCCACCTTGTGAAGTGATCGCTGTGTTGGTAGGATTTGTCGAGTTCTTGAAAAGACTAGGAAGAAGCAGGTTTATGGAACACAAGTTACCTGACGGTCTTGGTAAGATGAATCAATTCCGTTCTGTAGAAAGGCGTATAAAGATTTTAGAAAAATATACAAGAATGAAAAGTTTGAATGATTTACAAACCATTCATTATACGCAAATTATACAACAAACTACCAAAATGCCAGAATTTTGCAACACTCGAAAAGAAGTACTTTAAAATAGTTGCGAAATTTTTAATTAAAGCGGAAACCCTTTTTCAAACAATGAACAAAAAATATTGTAAGAGCAAGAAATAACTCGCAGGAATTCTGAGGAAGGTAAAATGAATTCAGTTCCCCCTGAATAAAATACAGAGACAGCAGGAAAAACTCTAAAATCTTCTACATAAAAAAATTTCCTGATCTTTTGTTGCAAAACTTGCTGAAATGCAGACCTCTAATTAATAATATGATTCTACAAATACTTACTTAAAGTATAAATCATTAACATGCAGTAAATGACCATACAATATAGATATTACTTATTTGGAGCGTGATCAATCTCTCAAGTTCTGCAATTAAGGCAACTATTCTCGAATAGATAAATTTAAATTCAAGGCTTATTTCTCAAGAGTCCTTAAAACCACCCTCCATAATAAACCTCACATTCTACCATTCCATTCTTCAAATATGCCACAAACTCTGATGTTTTCTTGCCTGAGATTGTGATCATTACGAATGCAATCGTATGAGAAATGATTCACTTTATTTTGCAGATGAATTGTCACTCAAAAGGCCGCTAATGGAAATCGCAATAATTTATTTTCACAAAACATAGCAAATTATGAAAAATTACAAAAAATGATACAGATTAATAAGAATTATAAAAATTAGACAGAAGCGGAGTTGCTTATGTTTCTCAGAACCACAACAAAAGTACTCATTTTCGCTTCTTAAACGGTTCATGAAATTTCTCTGAAAAGTAGACAAGAAATAATTTCAAAATGAGCATTTGTGAGCATAAATAGCTCGCAATATAGTAAAGACGCTATATGTAATTACAGCTGTAATAATAAGATGATGCAAAACATAGTAACAAACACTCAAGGAACGATATGAAACGAACAACAAATGAAAACATGAAGCATGATAAAAGAGAAACCAATACTTGTATACCACTAACTTACTTCCTACATGAATCACGACGGTTTTAAACTGCAACAAGTTCCAGATTTTTTAAATCCATCCGCGACAGAAAATGTAATTAAATTCCACTAAAATTCAAATGAAGGTACCCACGCCCAATGTCGCACAAATTTCTGAAAGAAGACAGCGCCCTTTAATTTTGATGATAAAAGAAATTATAAACAACAAAGCCAATGAATCACTTAATGCTTGGAAGAAAAATTCAACCACAAACGAATTTTTGAGAAATGCAAATCGCATCAGATTAGGAAATCAGAAGTTCCTTAACTGCTTTCCTTAAATGAAACCAGTGAAATGAATTATTTTCTACATCTAAAATTGCTTTCGAAAAATAGCCCAAACGAATAGCACATTATACTGAACATCTCATGCATTTTTAACTTCATCTGAAGTAGATTTTCACAGCAATTTACAAGCTGTAACACAAACAGATAAAGCGTCATATAACCATTAATTTGAATTAATAATAGTATGCTGTTGTGTACTGATAAGATTTGTTTGTGATGAATTAACTTCTGCTGATGCTACTGCCCGTACAGTTGCATCCACAGATCCACGTGCTCGTGCGCTTAATTCTGAATTACCATGTCCACGTACTGTTGAATGCGTCCTTTCGTGTTTCGTTAAATGATCTGATCGCATAAATTTCTTGCCACAGTGGCCACAAGCAAACCGCTTTTCACCTGAAAAAAAATTCGATTTCATACTAAGCTTTCCATTCGGGATTTGTACAAAAAGACTCCGAAACCATAAAATGAAGACAAACCAGTATGTGTCCTACGATGCCGCTGCAACTCATCGGAACGTGTAAACCTTTTTTGACAATGCGCCCAGTCGCATGCGAATGGTTTTTGTCCTGCATGACCTCTTAAATGCGCTCGCAAATGTGACGTCTTCCCGTAAGTTTTTTCACACAAATGACAAATGTGCAAACGCTGTTTCTCGCCACTTTTCACCCTCAAAGACGAAAGGATCTCACGTTATTGAAAAATAAAGTACGCATGAAATTAAATCACAAAATCTAAGAACTCGAAATTCCCAATTATTCCCCCACACAATGATGAAAAAGCTTACAACTTGTTGTTGGTGCTGTTTTGACAGTTCGGGCAATTACACGCAGTTCTTTTGGGCGTTTTCTGCTGCTTATATCCTAGTTGCTGGCCGACAGTTGAAGCACTTGGTGTAGCATCGAATTCATTTTGACGATTGTAACGATATCCTTGACTGGGTGTCTCGGCTGTATCGCCTGCTGCTGTGGTAATTATCCACTTCTGAGGATCATTCGGATCTTGGATGAAATGCAAATTCCCTGCAATAAAGTGATCAAAAGAGTAAAATCAGGTGCGAAAATGTCAACTTTTGGCGATCAAAGAATGAGCTATTCGCATACACGCTTATTTTATTAGAGTGATATAGCAGAGCCGATCTGAAATGTGATTAATTATATTTGGAGATGTTTTTCAAACCAAGCACTTCAATAGCCTCGATACAGCACGAGAGCAATAATTTAATTTTTTCATTTCCTCTCATTAACGCAAAATTATTGCTTATCAGACAACTCTTTTTTTTGATTTATTTTTTAGTTGTTCAATTTATTTTTTGCTATGTCAGTTCTTTGCAAGAAATGGAACCATAATTGAACCATATAAAGCTTAATTTAAATGACAAAATTTAGGTTCAATCAGCAAATTGTTGAAAACTCGTCAAAATCGATAAACAAACCTAATTTTATCCTTTGTTGGGTAGTGACACCATTAGCACTCCCATCATCCATTTCTTGCTTTGTATTTGTTTGCTGTGGTTGTTGCATTTCCACATTTCGCATCTGTTGTAAAGTCTGCTGTTGTAAATGATGAGGTTGCGCGTGCAAACTGGCTAATACTGGTTTCGTGTCTGGAGCTGGGTGCATCTGCAGCGGTATAAATGCTATCTAAAAACATTTAAATGATCGAAAATTTTCACACCTACAAATATTCAAAAGTAAAGATTTTTTCATGCAGTAAAATAAATCCAAGAGCCCAATTTAGCTGGAAAAGACTTCCACCGAATTGTCCTGCAATTTCAGAAATTCATCATTCTAAAATCAGTGATTTGCAGTAATTTGTTCATTAGTTCGATGCATAGCTTTATTCCTTTCTTATTTGAAATTTCAAATCAATATTTTTTCGGAAAGAAATTTGAATTTAAGAAATCAAAAAAAACCTGTTGCGGCGCCTGATTGGGGCCAGCTGTAGGTTGTTGTACAATGTAAAATTGATTAGTCTGCTGTATACCGGCTGGTTGAATTGGTATTGAAGGGCCTGGAAACACCGCTGCAAATCTTGATAAAAACAAATACTGATGAAAATAAATCGGGAATGAAAGGAAGCGGGTTGGCTTAACACTATAAATTATATCAAAATTGAGATATATTGTTATATTAATGAAATCGCAATATAAAAATCCCTTCTTTATTCAACTCTTCATAGGTATTCATTTAGTTACATATTTCATTGCTCCCAGTTATTAATATTGAAAAGACCCATACACCGTGTTTCCGGTTATTTAACTCCACTCTTCACAGAAGACATAATGCAGATTTGCTCCAAGCCAAACGAGTATATGGTTCAGAAAAAGTAAGCACAGCTTTGGTCCACTACCATCCTCTCAAAGTTAACCCTTTTTAAAAGCGGAACTTGCAAAGATAATTCCAAAACGTAAATCTTCAGAGTAGGAAGGACCCTATCAACTGCTCTCATGTTCTGCTTCGCCGTGAAGTGATGCAAAATCTTACTAGCAATTGCCGGTTGCTGTATTACTAAGAACTGTTGAGTTTGTCCCGGTCCTGTAACCGGTATGAGTTGAACTTGCGTCGGTTGCTGTCCACTCTGATTTTGAGTGGCAATTGGTATGAATTGGACCTGAAAAAAATTTCCAAACAAAATGCGCATGTCTCTAAAGTAGAATAATTAAGAAAAGTTTCGAATTCAAAGTACAAATCTGATTTGTATATAAAAAGGAGAAACTACATTGGCTGAGTGAACGGTACTTGAAAAGCTGCATTTTTAGATAAGGTAAAGTTCAGAAAGTTTGAGCTGGGATATTTGGTCAACTTTTATAAATTTTCATCGCCTTATCTACCAAAAATAACGAAATTAGAAATGGTTTTAACAGAACTGCAAATTCATACCGAATATGTGAGAGTATGAAAATGAGTCTGTAACGCATTTCCGCGTGTAGTACTCGCCTTCTACTTCATCTTTCCGTAATCCGGAAAATAAGTCCGATAAACTGATGGGTGAAATGAATGAAGTCTTACCTGTTGGTGTTGTATGGATGTAGCCTGAGGCTGCGGTTGTTGTGCCACGGCAGGAGTACCATTTGTACCGGCACTACCGGTGATAGGTTTCGGCAATATGGGAGTGTCCTGCGTCGTTGGAGGTTGTGTCGTAGAGGGCGACGGCGCCGCCGGATTGGACGATGGCTGCTTGGGCAGGATAGGGGTGGTCTCAGCCATCGCGGGGCGGGGGGCACCTGTTGCTACTGCTGCTGCCCCTTTCCTACACGGATCACACAGGGCGGAGGCAGGCCGTGCTGCGACTTATCAACCCTTCCGGCTATACGTCACCACACACTTACGTCTACTCTCGTTTGGAGTGGCGCAAGCCTACGCAACGCACTGACAATTAGGGTAAAGAATGGGAAGGAAGAAAGCACACCTCTCTCCCGGTCTCTAACAATCGATTTAGCCAACTTCGATGGGACGAATGGGCGGAGCATGGAATTAATGCGGCCCACCTTGTTGAATGGGTGTGTTCCTTCGGCGAAAATGGGCGTGGCATCATGCCGATACCAGGGACGACCTGTTGCACGGGGAGTTGGTGACATCAGCTTTCTGGCGCATGGCTTTTCCGGCACATAACCGTAACGGGGGTACAAGTGAGCTGTTGTTTTAGTACTGCCTGACGGTACTGTACTTCATCGCTACCATGAGAGCGGATATTTGGATCGTTATATAATCTGTAGAGATAGCCTGCAGGCTAAAGGGCGGTAATCAAGGTTCGTTGTGGATGTCATCCCCCTGTTGTTTCTCTGAAGAGGACACTCGGTGACCAGGCCACAGTTAAGCAGTTTAGTAGCTTAACAAAGATGCTCTCAACAAGAGCAGCTCATAAAACTAATTTTTTCATGATGAATCGCTAATGTCATTCAACCATAGGAGCTCATTACCAAGATTTCTGCAGGCCCATTAAATTTTCTAATTTGAACTATTCACGTCTCTGTCCCTCCCATAGTGAACTGGCCTGTTTTTGTTCATAAGCATGCATTACAGCTTTTTTTGTGCCATTTATTGAACAAGCAGTATGACCTCAAGACCTCAACAAATGAATAATAAAGAATCACAAAAATTCCTTTTCCATCCTCTCCTCCTAGATGTTTAAGTTTTAATCCCTAAACTTGTGCTGAGAACCGAAAAATACATTGACACTGTGTATATGCTGCTAAACGCTAGCCCTGCATCCTTCTAGAGCAAATCACTTATTTCGAACTTTATCAATTGACATCATGTCAGCTCACTTCTTTTTAGTCGTAAGTCCAGCACCAGCATTAAATTTAAACAATATTATATCACCATCTTCAACGATATAATTTCTTCCTTGTTGACGATACTTCCCCGCTGCCTTTACAGCATTTTCACTGCCCAGCTCCATCAAGTCGCTCACTTTACATACTTCAGCCATAATAAATCCTTTCTCAAAATCCGTATGAATCTTTCCAGCTGCTTGCGGTGCTTTTGTTCCTTTCTTCAAAAGACAATGCCGATTTAGTTGCATTAAAAATTTATTTAAAAACTGAAATCCTTAAACGAAAATGACATTCTCTGTAACTTAAAATTGCAATCAAGTCTACCTGGATTGTCCACGCTTTTACTTCATCCTTGCCACAGGTGAAAAAGTATTCAAGTTGTAGCGCCTTATAGCCATTCTTCACAATTTTATCCAGTGCGCTAAAACGCAAATAGTCAAATGAAAAAAAGACTTATAAAAAACAAGTGTACTAGCATAAATCAAACACTTAACTATATTTAGTTTGAAAACCTGTCAAGAAAACACACCTTGTTGTATTCTGTTCTTTCAAAAAGGTGAGTCGCTCATCTTCTGGCATTTCCATAAGCTTCAACTCCAATGTACCACTAAATGGAATGCAAACAGCGTGTGGGTCACTTTCAGCCAACCAGGTTTTAATTTTTGGTAGCCACTTATTCTTCTGTAAATGAAAAAACAATATAGTCACTGCCACTTAATGTCTTGCAATCACTCTTAAAATGGAGCTAAATAACACTGAAATACTGAAACCACAAACATTGACAGAAATATGAATAACTCTCCTAAAAAGCAATCCTTCGCTTTCCTGGAATTAAATCATCGAAAATTCTTAGCATCTGAAAACTTACCTTCCTGATGTAATCCGCATCTGAAAGATTGATCAAATAAACAATGGGTTTAGCCGTTAACAGAAAGTGATGGTTCAGTATTTCCACTTCTTTTTCATTCCATATCATCAGACGAACAGGTTGACCATCCTCACCTAATAGTTTTTTCACCTATAATCAAAAAGCTTGAGTATTTTTATTTTCTTCAACTTTCTAAATATTTTTTTTTCTGTCGAGATCACCTTCAGTAGTGTTTCATACTCCAGCTTCCTGCTTTTATCACCACCTCTTACAACAATTTTCTCCATTTTATCTATAACGCCTTCCAGATACTGTAGGTCTTTCTTGATAAGCTCTTTCTGTATTATATCAAGATCCCGAACTGGATTAACTTCACCTTCCACATGTGTCACATTGTCGTCATCAAAAGCACTGAAATAACAATTCTTTCTAATCATTATCTCAACCCATAAGGCAGTCTATATAATAATGGAAGAGAAAGACTGTGAAAAGCTTATTCTAATTTGTATCATTGTTCTAAATGCATAAATTTCGTAGTTTTGAACTTGAGCAATCGTATAACAAAACAGTGCACCATTTGTATAAGTCAAATTATACTTTGCGGTTGAATTCTATTCATTCATTTTCAAACTTCATTAGTGGATTGTATGAAGGTACAGAGAACTAGGTATTAATTCAAGCCCATAACTAACCGACAGAGATGAAAAAGCGCATCGCACGCACCAACGTGTGATAGGAAAGCATTGCCAAGACCCAATCCTTCGGAAGCGCCACTCACCAAACCAGCAATATCAACAACATTTAAAAATGCCGGGACTCTACTGAGCGGTTTGAAATGCTCTACCAACCAATCGAAACGGTTATCATTAACAGGTACACGACCTAAAGCGATAATAAACTTCATTGCATGACCAGAAACGAAATAAATGATGGTACAAACAGAGAAAGAAAGATGAGATCAATGAAGGAGACACATGGAAGTTCAAAAAAATATCGCATTCATTAAAGCGGATAATATTTCCGCAAAATTGATCTTCCTTCTGATCCTATCTTTTTCAATGCTTTTAAAATGGAGAAATCCAAAGGCAGCTGAATCTTACAGTATTTATAAAGTCGTCATAAAGTGGCAAGAGATAAAAAGCACAGGATTGATTCAGCAGTGGCAACAACAATCGTTACAAATGAAGTAAGTAATATGAAGTATTTCCTGAAAATATTAGGGGGAATAATAATGCAGAAAGCAAATTAATTATTTCAAACTTACTTTCGTTAGGATCAATCGTACAAAAAGGGAAATTTTCTGCTTGTGCTTGACTTTTCGTTAGCACATTGAAAAAAGTGCTTTTTCCGACGTTTGGAACTCCAAGAATACCCATCTGAATTGAAAATAATCCATTATATCATCTCCAGATACCATAATGATATAATTATAGGAACGGATTACAGTTTTTAAATACAAAAGTTGAATTGCGTTAGATCGCATTCATGCTTTATTAACAAAGAATGCAGCAGCAACTGGACAATGTCGAGCCATGACAGAATGTTCAAAAAAGTTTCAAATTAACGTTGCAGCATATGACTCAGATAGAATCACCTAGTTCGAACGGAGAAAGCTTAACACATTATGTGGAAAAAATGGCAGTGATCTGAATAGTGTCTTCATCAATTATAGTGAAAGATAACATGCACTATGCATTCATGAAAGCACCAAAAAATAAAAAAGAATAATGCTTGTAATTATTGTTATTTCATAACCTCAATGAATTTAAAAATTATTCTGCAAATGACAAGCCTAGCGATTTCTTCCTTATCAAAGTCAGAGAACTAAAATTATGATTGAACAAGAGTAAGATGGTACAGACCTTTAAATTTGTTCCTATCCGACCCATTAGGGGTAAGCGCTCCTCTGCACCATCTTTCTTTTTCGGTGGCATTGATCATTCACTTGCTATTAATCAATGGCTTGCTAAAAAAAGGCCAGTTCAAAAAAACCTAGTTTAAAAATCATGCCTATTGAGCTTGGATCGAACACACTGAAACGAAGCCTATGTTACTAGTTACTACTGTTCATGAAGGACGACCTGTAAACAAACTAAAAAAATAGAGACGAATATAATGACAGTTTATCCGAATCCTTCTCAGGATAAAAGAAAAAATAATCAGAAACAAGCATATATATTACCCGTTAATGGAGCTACGGTAGAGAACAGAATTTTTTATTATCAGAAATGTAAGATATCGCTAGTTCAGTAGTTAAACAGATTAAATGGGCCTGTTTTCAATAACATTAGTAATGCATAGCAAAGAAGTATCTGTTTATTTCTAGGAAAAAATCGCTAGTTGGTGTAAAACAAAATTTTTTAAACTTTATTTAAAGAAAAAAGTAAAAACTACACAAAAAATATGTAGAAGAGCAAAAACAATATTGACAATAAAATTTCCGAGAATTAATGATACATTGGTCCTCGTGGTGGAAAAACTTGAGGAACAACAAAGGGTGGTGCTCCAGGCATTGGTTGTGGCTGCATCATTCCCATACCAGGACCACCAATACCACGCACTGCTCCTTGTAAACCTGAAAATTATGGAAGGTTAAGGTTAACATTTAATAAAGATTCAACAATTAAACGTTATTTCAGAATATAATCTTTCGAGCACATGCTTTCGTTGCCACAAAAAAATAGTCCCGCAATGAAGGATTAGACAAAGAAAATCCTTTCAAACAGTTTCAAACATCCAATCCTATATTACACACAACAAAAAACTCCAAGCTGAAAAATTCATTCCTTTTACGCGGTGAAGAATGATAACAGGATTTTTCCTCTTAGTTATCAGCTTGCAATCCATGTAAAACATTTCCGTCGGTTCTCTTCACTTTCATCCTCTTCCCTTATCCAAACTTACAAAGTTCCATGTTCATAAAAAATTTAAAAGCACTAGCCAGGAGCAGGTCCAGGAGGTCCGACCATAGGTGGTCCCATGCCACGTCCAGCCGGTTTTGCGGCACCAGGTCCACCAATATTTCCAGCCTTTCCCTGCTGTTTTGAATCTTCATCCTGTTCATTAGATTGAACAGTCATTGAAACTATGTGCTCACCACGCAACAACACCAAACCCAGCGTCCGTTTCTCTTCTCCCTAAAAAACGACATATATTTGAAACTGGCAAAAAAAGAATGATAAGTTTATAATCAAAACAAAGAGTAAGTAACTATTCCAAACTAATAGCTATGCACGATTTACTGACTTATTTGAATTACACTTTCCCTGTGGTTTTTCGCTTAACGCTCTAATTATCACTATTGGCATCACAAACAATAAAACGACCTGAGTAATACAGCAAAGGATAAAAAAGAATAAAGCATAGCATTTCAAATTGTACAACACAACTTTTGGATATAAACCTAGATATTTTGTTATAAATAACATTACCTCAGCAATCTTTTTGCCGGGTTTTGGTTTGATCCGACGCAGTTCTTCACAATCGCACAGAAGTATATTCATATGTTTGTCGAAAGCTAAAGCAAATAGTTATTCACAAAAATATGTAAAAAAGTGTGAATCCATTATGGTTTGGTGTGTTGACTATTTGCTTAGATGTTATGCTTCAGAATAATATAGATGTGAGATGAAAAACATGAACACATTAGATAAGCAAAAAAATTAACTATACCTTTGAAGTAGCCAACGAAAGTCCTAGAATCCAACAACACCACCTTCATCTTACGGTTCAAATGAGACATCATTTTATTGTTTTTGCTAATCGTCTGTAAATAAATAATATCGAAAAATTATTATTGAGCGAAAATACATTTCGGCATCTAAAGTAAGTGAATAAACATTTAGATGAAGCAGCGAAAAATTGTTACCGAAGACGCTCAACTCACTAAAAGCTTTACTATTTGAATTACCGCTTACTAATTATACACGAATGCTGCTAAGGAACTAATATGGGTTGACGTAGATTTCAGCACTACTTAGATTGTTAGGAAGACAGTAATCAGTGAAAAAAACAAATCAAATTGCTCCCACTTACCATTTTGATAGCTTTGAGATCTTTTTGTTTTCTGTTCAGCTGTAAATAAAATCTGAAAAATAATAAAAGCGCTGTAGAAGAATCGGAAAAAACCTCCTGAGGCTGACAACCAATTGATCTTTAACCTTTTTCACGAAGGGCCTGCAGATCTCACCGAGTTACAGCAACATAGTAGAGGGAAAAACGATTCGAATATGAACAGGAAAAGATATCCTCTTCCAGGAACACACCCAACCGGCGCCTCAGCTTAGCAACCCTATACCCTCCCGAGAAACCTCATCTCTGCGAAGCGTGACCTCAACAAGAAATTGTTTACACTGACTCCTCACCCAAAACTTCGCTACATTGAAGGCGGAGTCGACCGCCGCTCCACCCACACGCTTTGCAATAGTAAGTAATAACTTCAGTAGGGAAAGACTGCAAAAGTTGCGAGGCAGCAATTTGCCTTTTTTTGTATGTAGCTTCAGATAAGATCAGAGTTGCTAAAAAAGCATGCTCCAAGTAAGTGATAGGGTTTATTCCCATTAACATAGCAACAATCGATAATACATAACATCGGAGTATATGCGAACATTTACAAATGACTTCAAAACAAAGCAAATCCAAAATTGATTTTTAAATCCGTGTAAATAATGTATATGGATGTCTAACAGACCATTTTTTATATTTCTTCCTACACAATAACATTTTCGTGTTTTGAATGAATTTTGTGATAAAGAGGATAGAAGGGAAACCAAAGCAAAGCATTTATTCAAACACTGGAGTAGCATCATAAATAAATTATGTCACTCTAGTGTTTGAAAAAACGATAGTTTTTACTACAATAATATATTCTAAGAAATCCTTTTCGTTTAAAAATACGAAATATTTCAAAATATTTCCACTTAAAAATTTTAATCGCGATAATCATCGAATAGTTTACATTTCCTGTATTCCAATTACCAATCAATTTATATGAAAATGAATTTTTTGACCGACAAACATGTTCAAATTCAAACAAAGTGCTGAAAATTAAAAAAAAAATCACTTCAGTCCGGCAGCTTTTTTTGTTGCTTCTTCTGCTTCAGCCTCCATTCTTTCAGCATCAACAACTTTAATTAGTTCTTCTACTTCTTCAGTTGGAAGAATCCGATAATCCACTGTGCGTCCCTAAATAGATCGATTATTTGAGTAAAGTATGTTGCACTATAGATAAAGCATTCTAACGGAGAATAAAAAAGAAGCAATTAACTCTTCCAGGAAAATATCATCAGTTTTCACAATTGGGACAGAAAATTACTTAACAGCTTCTATTATCGACTTTTTACTAAAAAAATGCCAGCAATCAAATGATTCAGTTTATTTCATTTGATGTTATTTATTACTGCAGTGAAAAGAAAAAAAATGATAACCAGATCAGTGGACAACTTCATGACAGCAATTTCGATATTCTGAGCACCACTTTGAACCACTTGTGATAGAGCTTTCACCACAAGCTTTAAAACGCTTGCTTCATCCGCTGTTGTTTCATCATTGTAATGCTCTTCCAGATACTCTCGCACTGGTTTCTCACCACGGCCTGTTGAATTTGCCTGCAAATTGCATTTAGTAGTCAACTGGAAAAGTTTCACAACTGGAACAGAAAACTATAAACACAAATCCTTTATTCAATCTAACACGATAGAAAGGAAGTTGAGTGAATGAAACGCCCTTATAAGCAGAAGGTCGATATGCAGTGTACAGTCAAATAACTAATTTGGATCCGCATAAGATATATTAAAAAGTTCAAATATTATAAATGAACAGTGGGATTCCAAATTGAGCAGTTAAGCTGAAAATACTTATTAAACTAAATGATTACTTGTTTTTTGTTTTTACTAAACATGAAAACTAACAGAATATTCGTAATATGCTCCTGAAGGTTCAGTTTTAAATAATCGAGGAGTTCCATCAAAATCAAAGCCACCAACAAGCATTGATATACCGAAAGGTCTTCTTCCTGGGCTTTGCGTAAATCTCTGCAAATGTAGAAATACATAATTATGCCAAATTTTGTAATTTGAACAGTATAAACAGCATAACTTGAAACAATCAAATAGCAAACCTGCTTAGTGTTCGCAATAAATCGCGCAATATAGCCTACTGTAACGGGATCTTCAAGCGTCAATTTATATGATTGACATTCAATTCGTGCTCTATCCACTAAAACGCGTGCATCCGCACTAAGACCTGCAAAAATATGTCGATTCTGAAACAATACATCATATCAGATTTGGCATGTGTTAACGATATTTCAATCATTTCGTAAATTTTCCATAATTATTACAATAATAAAGACTTACAAATGGGGGAATACAATTTATAACTTTGAAAAGTAATCTGTAACAGGAGCCAAAAAAATCATGACGAAATCATGCAGTTAGATTAGCAGAAGTCAAACAATAGTAATTTAATCAAAAAAAATCTATCAACTGATTTATACATCTGACTTTGTTCCTATTTTACAAAACAGGAAACTTTTCGAAATTTTATGTTAGACAGATGTAAGCGTCCAATTTACTTATATTGACATTTCTCTCTGCAGATATGTGGCCATGTCAAACATATCCTACACTAATACCAGAAGTCGAATTATACAGAAGAATAGGTAACCTGCAAATGCAAGCATAACATGCTCATCTATACTATGAATTTTGCGTATGGTGCGATCATCCTGCAATGTTGGCATCGACTTTTTCTCGACACCGATCACAACACAATTTTTACCTCGCACACCAACCTAGAAAAGTTTAATGACAGAACCAACAATAATGAGGAAAATAAAAAAAATAGAAAAGAAGTTATTCGTCTTGCAAAAATGTTGTGATGGCATCAAAAAAAGCTCCGTAACACTAAAAGACAGAGAGATAACGCATCAGGTTAAAAAAACTGGGATTACCGCAGTTGATCCTTTCTTGACCGCTTCTTGTGCGTATTCAACTTGAAACAGATGACCGTCCGGTGAGAAGATTGTAATAGCGCGGTCATACCTCTCCATATCTGAAGACACTCATTTACACTTTCGATAATTTCAGCGGTGGGCATCCTTTTTTCTTCTTACTATGCGTCAATTCATGTTTCCGTATAGCATGCAAAACAGACGATTTGCATCCCGTCTGCTGCCACACTTACCTCCTACCGCCAGTCCCATCCTAATCTGTAATTATCACCACTCGAAGAGTGCCGGTCGTAAATTGAGTACGAACCTGCAACGATGTCATTGCAACGGATCTAGTGTGGTATGGCGTAGTCCAGTGCAGTGCAGTGCAGCGCGGCGCAGCGTTGCGTCAAAGTTTCTCTCTATTCTTTGCCCATTGTGAGCATTCCATTTCTTTCTCTCTGTTTACTGACCCTCTCTAGGCTACATGTGTTATCTCTTAAATCTCTGAATTGTTTTTCGTTTCACAATTTTGGCATTCCGGAAAATGTCCTGATGAGGTTTGTCAGAAGCGAGTAATTAATGTGCTGTTGCATTGATCTCTCAGTAAGATTGTCTGCGAAAAGTATTTCATGCAGGTAAATAGACTTAGTAGTTTCCGAATCTTATCTTTGCTTTTCCAACCATTTATCTACTCCTGCTATCAGTAATTTCATTTATGCAAAAATGGAAATAAAACAGTTATTCATGAAACATTCAATTAGTCATCTCTTCTTATCCTTTCGATGTCTTTCGGTAGGTTGTTTGGTATTTTTGTGGGTGGTGGGAATGGTCGTAGTGTGGATGGATATATTTGACTACGAGTGATATGGTTTACATAAGTATTCATCTCTGATACCAATCGGAAATATTGCCGCCCGTAGCCAGAAGGCTTTAGTTGCTATTGTCCATCTAAAACTATGCTGCGAAACTTCACATTCGCATTGAACTATGACCTTACATGAAGAAATTGTTGTCTTTGTTGATTAAATAAATAAAGCAAACTGTCATGATTTGTTTTTCAGCAATAAGCATAATCATCACATTATGTTTGGGTTCGATACGATGTTTCCAAGGTGTTAAGAGTGAGAAGTTACCGGAAGATGAAAATAGCCAATCGCTACTATTGCCCGAAATTGGAGAAAATGATTGTAAGGGTGATGAGAATGAGTGGATAAAGCCTACTGTTACCGGCTATTTGGTTGGCCAACTTATCGGTGTGATTTTTGGTATCGCTCTATGTATTGCATTCATTTATCACTGTATCCTTAAGAATCTCAAATTCCTTTCATAATCGAGAAAAAACTTGTCAACAGAGTATATTGTTTGTAATAATTTCCTATTAAATATAAATATATCAAGACATTCATGGTCAGCACTGTAACCGCCGTTGTGGTCATAGAATCATTTGCCGAAATAATTGATACTAATAAGACAAGCTGCAGAGCTGTTTTCTATCTGCTCAGATGTTATTGAAATAGAGATTGATCTCAGAGTTTCCCGAACAATCCTTTGATCATTAGAATATGTGCCCTCTATTTTACATTAACCAAATCTCCTGAAATTAACTCTTAACGTCTTTTCGCTCCCAAATGAATTGTTTCAAGAGAAGATTTGTGAGACGATTTTGATACTTTTAAAAGATTTCCCTGATACAGTTTGTTTTAGCAATATATATGCAAATTTTTGAAAATTGAGTTTGATGGGTAGAAATTTAAATTACAATTGTTCGAGTGTTTTTTTTCAATCTAAGCGAATCACAAGCGTTTGAAATGTTGTCGGGTCAGTAAGTAGTGATTTTTGAAGGCTTTTTTTAAAAGAATATGTTTTGAAGTGATACTGAAGTAAGGAGGTGTAAAAATTGATTTGAACTTAATGGATTCATGTTTGTTTATGAGAGAAATTGGCATAAATAAATGGATTATCCGATAACATTGGTGTGCTGTTCCAATTCCGCTTTAGTTCAACATTGTTTTGCATCAAACACAGTAGTGCATTCATATTTGAAGCCATTTAGTATTTAGATGGCCTACTTGAAAACATATTCTTCACTTCTCAGGTTTGTAAATACTTAACATTTCAGTGTACAAATTGATGATTGTATGCTTTACTATGATTCAATGCCAAAGATTATCGAATCATCAATTGAATCTATCCAATTCTAATCGTGATTTACTGACAGATGATTGGATGATAGAAGATGAGGATGATAGTAATTGTGATGCTGTAGACGAAACACCATGGGATCGACACTTTTTTCGTGGCATGATAGTTGGCTTTTTAATTGGTTTAAGTGGCGGCGTTCTGCTTGGCTTCCTTTGCTGGCAAATTCAGGTACACAAGGAAGGCTACAATTTGTAACTGAATGCTCTATATTCATTTCAAAACTCTAATCAGCCATATCATGAAAATTTTATAACTCTTCCTTCCTTCTTCTTTGTGACTTCCTATCTTTAGACTTGCTTCTTTCAAATTTGTTATTTTGATCTAATTTCCTACTTCAACAATAATATTGTGTGAGAAATATTCGTAGTGAATCTGGTTGACCCTATTTTAAATGATAAAGACTATTCAGTTTTATTTCTCAAGTCACAAATGAGTAAATAATATTGCTCCGGCTTTTAATATTGTTATTAAACGTGTTTAATATGAGATTTGCATCTTTATCATTGAAATCTTTAGTGTATAAATCTATTTTTTTAATCATCATCTCTGTATACGCTATGTCTGATAAATAAAAATTTTGCAATAATATTTAGATTATTAATCGGTTCATGTTGAATATTCTCATAAGTTCAATTTGGTGAATGAAAAATGAACATTGAATGATAAAAGTAATGTCCTTTATTTCTGTTTAAATAGAACACGAAAAACGGTATAAACCTTATAACAATTATTATGAACTATGATTAAACATAACCAGTAGATGAACTTTCAAATCTTTTTTTTGGAATTATTTACTTTCTCTCTCTCTTTCTCTCTCCTAATCCCATGTTAATGCTAATGATAAATAGTCATATCGATAGAATGGAAGTCGCACAGCTTGTTCGAAAATGATATTTGAGCATGACAGATGCAAACAAAGGTTTTTGTTGTTTGTGATAATCACTTCATCTAAAATAAAAAATGTGCAAGTTTCAAACTATCATGTACTTTACAGTATAAAAAGAAATATTAAAATTTCAGTCATTAAATTAATGATTGAGAACGTCTTAGCTTCATTTTGTATTTCCAAAATCTATTTAAAAAATTCCCATCCATCCTGGACTGAAATATTTGTTGATAAGTAACTTGTCGTATTGTAATGCTGTTATGCTAATGATAATATTCTTGATAATTTTGTGTTCATTGAAGTTGTAAACATAATTATAGCACTTGATATCCTGTTTTATTTAGAGAAAAGTGTAAGATTTATTTAATTCAGATTCATCGCATACTTTTTTATCATTGATAATTTCTCCTTTCTTTCCTATTTCCGCACTCTTCTCTGTTGTACCCGAATTAAAGTTCCTGATAACGAATCATTACTTCCAGCATTCAGCCAACGAAATTTATTATGCCAAATTTTTGCATCGGAAATCTTTCTTAAAGAGATGAAGATTTTAGAGAAATGAAAAAATACTTGTCAAATGAAAAATAAAAGAACGATTGAGTCAAGAATTCAGATATACTTTCTGAGAGGTCAAGAATTGTGAAATGCTTTCTGAGGAGTCAAGAATTAGATGTATTTCACGAGGGGTTAATTTTAACTAAATGTGAAAGACGTGGAAGAGGAATGGAACTACTTCGTTCGTTTCAGGTATTATTTTTGCTGACACTGTTATGCAATTTTAGCAGTCATGAAAAGAAATATTCAAAATATGCATATGTAATGAGGGTTACAGATGACAAAGATTAAGTGTTACCACTGAAGTGTAGTTATGCTACATTTAATGGACAATTTAAATTTTTTAATATTATAATTGAAAAATTATTGCATATTGCAATTTCAAATATGATTTTGACATCACTTCTTGGATCACATCGAAAATAATTTTGGATCACGTCACATAATTGTAATTTTGAGTTTTTTTAGAAAAGCCAATTCCTTTCGAATTCTGTTGAAAATGATTTGAACGACTGATTTGAGTAAATTTGTTGTCAGAAAGCTGTCATCACAAAAAGGCTCGTATCGTAGTCACTACCATTTCTGTGTATAAACTGAAAGTTTTCACAAATGCCATCTATGAAAGTTATTTTATAAAAAAAAGTGTCAATTAAAATAAATTGTTTGACACATATATTTTTGAAAAAAATTAAGAGTTCTTTGTCACCGCCACAACAAAAATGAGCATCACAATAGTTTTATTTGAAATTTGTTAATGAATGAAATGTATTTCAGTAAGGTGACATATTTCGTTAATGATAATTAATTTTGCTGATTAAATTGAGATTTAATTAAATAATACATTTACCAAATGCACGCTTAAAATAATAGTCTCTTTTTATGCTATAATTCTTGAGCTCAAGCGACATCTAAATATCACATGCTAGCTTTAAATTACGTATAGGTCAACTTTATACTCATTAAAATCTGATAAGCCTATAATGCTTGTTAACGCATCTAAAAATCTCCGCCTAAAGAACTGATTACTATCAATTCATAACAGAGTTTCTTAAGAATAAACATTACGTGACCCTCTTGTGGAAGAGCGGAATGCCTTATAATATAATAATTGTTACTTCTATAAATAAATGATAGATAAAAATTATTTATAATAGATAAGCTGAAAGCAAAATGATAATAAAACTATTTTTTCAAATCTCAATGCAAGAATAAATTAAGTTTCACGCAAAGAAATAGATAATGTAGAAAAATGAGTCAAGTCTGTCACTGTTTCTTAGCCTTGATATATTAAGGGTCAAGGTGTTTTAAAGTGAATATTACATTTACTTATATTCTTAGATTAGGCAATTATTAGAGTTATCCATCTATCCATTATTGTGTATCTGTTTTCAAAATGATATAAAAGCTCGAGCAATTATTTTAGGCTAGTAATCAACAGGAGGCATTTCAACTGGTTGTATACATTAATGATTTTTAGAATTTCAAAAATTGATGGAACAGATGGTAATCACTTTTCGAAATCTGTCTTCTGGGTAACATTCCATCATCATTTTTCAAATTTCACATATATTCACAATAACAATACATACATACCATTTCTGTTTACTGCTTTTCTTCCTTGCAAATGTCACTTTTGTTTAGTTTAATTCTTTTGTTTTGCATTTTAATTACCACAAAATAATCTTTTACTTTTCGCGCAATATAACGTTAATATTGAAATTTAAAGAAAATATAAAAATTAAAAAATATAAGATGGAAAATATTAATTATAAAAAGTAAATATGAATTTTTTTAATTGCCATAAATATATATTTTCGTCTCTTATCACTCTCCCATTCTTATCTTTTTTCTAATTCTATGTTAAAATTTACAGATAATTTTGAAATGGTTAAAATTTCAAGGTCAGCAAACATCAATAATGCACTCAATTCAATTGATATGAGCTGTGACAGTTATCGCTGATATTCTTACTGCTATCATTACTATTCCTACTGCTCACATATGCAAATTAAGTCATTATAAAATAGGAAAATTGTCAATTGAAAAAAAAAATTTTGGTCGGTATAATCAAAATGTTTTTCCTCATTCCATCAACAATGAGACAATTATTTCGCGGTTTGATGTGCAATTGACCACTTTGCGCTTTTGATAATGCGCAAATTTATTCGATGAATGCATAACAGACAATAAACATTACATTACAAATCATTTCACGCATTTTTTAATTTCTTGAATGTTTGGAATATTTTCAGTAAATAAAAAGAATGTTGTCGTAGTGGCGCAGATTTGCGTTACTGTTTACAAGTTTGTTTTGTGCACAGTTTCCACTTACTGATAAGTAGCTCATCTCCTTGTTATGCATTGTATAATGGATGATTTCAGGTATCATTGGCATGTCTTTTATCAGAATTGATAGTTATTGAATTTCCGATGTGTCATTGATGATTACTGAATTGTTTCATACTGATAATATATATTGATAACTGATGTGAAATATCTCTGAAATCTCTGCCTTGACTGAATGTCAATTGACCTAAATAGGTGAAACAAAGCTAAATATGGAAATAAAAAATAGTCCAGTTTAAAAATAACCCCTCTATTTTTGGATCTTCTTTTTCTTTGAACAATTACTGATCGATTCAAATAATTTTCGCAATTCGGTAAACAATATTTTATAGCTAATAGCAACTTCCGATATGTCAGACGCACATTAAGTATACTTTGGATATTTACACAGCTTCAGATGTTCTCGAATTATGAATTTTATTTAATTTTTGCAAAAGTAGAGCGAGTGTTCATTTCACTTCCATGAAATCCTTTTGACTATCAAACAGGAAAAACGAATACTTCTCCGATTTCTCTATTACATTTCACTGTATGTATATCTTTGTTATTTACTACATCTTGCTATTTATCACTATTGTCAACTGTATTTCACATAATTATCATTATCAATTATTAAACAAATTAGGTTTTTCATTCTCTCAATATGATGATGCTTCATCTCAGATATATAACAATCGTAATCTAATTATGGTAGCATATCAATTAATATCATATTTAGTTTTACTGCTTATCATTAATCAATATATTTAACAAGGAAAGCTATACAAATATATTGGATGATTTTAATAAAATTCTATAGCAATTACGAATACATTAAACGAAGTATTGTCAACATAAAGGAATCTGTGTTATTTGAAAACATCCCGAAGTTCCTTAAGATCTCACATTGTGTGGATTGTGTAAAGCAGAGAAAATTATCGCTTATTATCAGAACCATCTAAGCTCTTCTCAATTAACTTATAAGCTCATTCTCTTACCTTAATTAAGAAGTAATCGATTGCTGGAAATCCAATTGAATTGTATTTTTTTTACAAGAAGATTTGGATTCTATTCTCATCGATTATTTCGATTCTTTCAGAGTTTCTTTATAATTTAATTTAACAGTCAATAATTTGTTAAATTAATTTTTCATTGTTAAAATTATTTTTTCTAAATAATTTAGTAATAGTTTTTTGAATTCATTTTAATATATCATTTAACTAACTTTCATTAAATTATTATTTTATAAGAAATTCGACCGCTCTCTTCTTTGTGAAAATTTTTTAGATAAAAATGAAAAAAATTAGCATTTTGATGAACGACATCGAGTAACAATTTAAATTACATTCAACAAAATTTCCATAAATGAGGCAGCCCTATAATGGTATAGTGAACAGAGGATCATAGCCTCCACCCACCACCTACCGTA